ATGTAAATATATTGTATTATATATTATAATTATGATATTTTAGAATATATGCTATATATATTATATGTTATATGTAATGTTTATATTTGTTTACTTGTTTTTTGTCTGTTTCTCCCCCCATTATATAAACTCCACTAGATTTGGGGCTTTATCTTGTTCACCTCTGTATCTCTAGCACTTAAAAGAAAAGAGGAATGCCAGACACATAATACACATCCAAAAATTATTTGGTAAATGAGTGAACCTCACTTGCCACATCTGTAAATGTAGCTAATAATATCTTACCTCCCTGAAGGTAGGAGGCTGAACCAGATAATCTTTTAGGTTCCTTTCAAGTTCTAAAGATCTATGATTTTTTGACTCGTTTGACTCTGTTACTGCCATATCCAGCTTAAAATTATGTTATGTGGAGATATGAAGCAGAATGAGTTTTCTTCCTTTTTTTATAGGTGAACTGCAGAGGAAGATTGGCTTGAAAGTACTTGAAATGAGAGGAAATGCGGTTGTTGGGTACTTACAGTGTTTTGATCTGGAAGGCGAGTCTGGGTTAGTGGTACGAGCCATAGGAACAGCGTGTACTCTGGATAAATTAAGTAGCCCAGCAGCGTTTCTTCCTGCATGTAATTCCCCATCCAAAGAAATGAAGGAGTAAGTATGAATCCATGAATTGTTCTTATGGAGCTTTTTATCTTTAGCCTATACATTTTCGTTGGATTTGAAACATTTTAGTAGGGTTATTCAACGTACATTTCTTTCTATGGTGATTTTTCTTACCAGAGTTGACTATCAAAACTGGAAGCTTGAAACCATTTAGATATTCCTAATATTTTATTTATACTGTCTTAATGTGAAATTCAAATTAAGTAATGTAAAATTAAACTCATTCCAGATCTTTAGACACTGTGTATCTAAAGCATAAATGAATGTTTGTGTGTTGTGTGAGATTTCACTTATTCTCTGGATAATGCTACAAACTCTATACCTGATAATCCGATTATGCTTATTATTAGCAACATAGTATAGAAAGCAGGAAAGATTGACTTGTGCAGGGGTCTCAAACTCAGATGTCTACAGAGGCCAAGCAGTTTAAATAAATAACATAGCGGGGTATGATTAAGTAGGGAATACTGGAGACTGTGTAAAGCCTGTTTTGGCAGACATTTTCTGTAAAAGACCAGATGGTAAATATTTCAGGTACTAGCCATATAGTCTCTATCTGTGTTTACCAAAAAAAGCAGTTTACCTCTCTTGATCTAAAGGAATTTAGACTCATACGTTTTCTAAAAACTGTGTGTGATCCAACAGAAACACTTCTGTTGACTGGATTTGGCTTATGTGTCATCATTTGTGTCTAAGGCAGTGATTCTAAACGTGGTGGTGGTGCTGTCAGCAGGGAACGTTTGAAATGAAAATTTTCAGTCATAATGATTGAGATGAGAGGGACAATCCTGTTGGGGGCTAGAAATGCTGACTATCCTACATGGCAGGGGACAACTCTGTATCGTCATGTGCCGTATAACAATATTTTAGTCAACAACGGACCACATATACGGTGGTGGTCCCATATGATTAGTTCCATATAATCTGGGTGCGTAGTTGGCTATACCATCTAAGTTTGTGTTAAGTACACTCTATGATGTTCACACAATGACAGAATAGCCTAATGATACATTTCTCAGAACGTATCCCTGTCATTAAGCGACTCTTGACTGTACAGCAAAGACTTGTTCCATCCTCAGTGCTGATAGTACTTTCATTGAGAACCATTGATCTAGAGATTCTTCTAGATCAAAAGTCAACAAACATTCTGTAAATGACTAGAAGGTACAGGTAAATAGTTTAGTCTTTGCTAACAGCAACTACTCACTTCTGCTGTTGTGTGAAAGCAGTGATCGATGAGCGTGGCTATGTTCCAATAAGACTTATTTACAAAACAGATGGCAAGATAGATTCTATCTGTAGTGTGAGTTTGCTGACCCCCATTCTGTGTCATCAGGGAGTCAGAATTCTGCAGTCAGAAAACCTGAAATGTTTCCCACTTCAGCAGTAGTAAAAAAAGAGTTTGACTAGAAAGCAATCACAGTCTTTTCTTTTGTGCATGTGTGTGTGAGGAAGATTAGCCCTGAGCTAACATCCGTTGCCAATCCTCCTCTTTTTGCTGAGGAAGATTGGCCCAGGGCTAACATCTGTGCCCATCTTCCTCTACTTTATATGGGATACCTGCCACAGCATGGCCTGACAAGCCATGTGTTGGTCCATGCCCGAGATCCAAACTTGTGAACCCTGGGCCGCCGAAGCGGAGTGGGCACACTTAACTGCTACACCACCGGGCTGGCCCGATTACAGTCTTTTTTAAAATGAGATTTTCCTGTTTATCTTAAGCTTATTCTTTCTTTCTTTCTTTTTTGTGAGGAAGATCAGCCCTGAGCTAACATCTGTGCTAATCCTCTTCTTTTTCTGAGGAAGACCGGCTCTGAGCTAACATCTATTACCAATCCTCCTCCTTTTTTTTTCCCCCAAAGCCCCAGTAGATAGTTGTATGTCATAGTTGCACATCCTTCTAGTTGCTGTATGTGGGACACGGCCTCAGCATGGCCAGAGAAGCGGGATGTCCGTGCGCGCCCGGGATCCGAACCTGGGCTGCCAGTAGCGGAGCGCGAGCACTTAACCGCTAAGCCACGGGGCTGGCCCAAGCTTATTCTTTTTAATTATTTCCTTTCTGCTGTCCTTTAGTTATTTGGATTAAATTTTAGTCACAAGAGGGAGCACAGTATTACATATATTGCCTAATTTTACTTGGAAATACATTGACAAGTGAAATAATTGTTTTAAATAAACTGAAGAGTGAATTTGCTTTATATTCCATTTAAAATATGTCTGTAAAAGATGTGACCTGCCTGCTGCTACAGGTAAAGTCAGATTGCAGGTGTAACTTTTTGAGGGATTCAGACTTTTTTTCTTTTACCATAGCAAATTTAAGTAAAGACCTGGGTTCCTCCTTCTCCTGCCCCCCTCCAGCTTTACCTGCATTGCCTGAAGGGGCCTGGCTTTTGCAGCTGTGATGTCTGAAGTTTTCCTCTTCTCATTAAATTACTTAGTGGAAAGAGAAAGCTATAATACATGTTGAGTCTTAGAATGCTGTATGGACAGTAGGGGAATACATTTTGCCTGCGTTCAGGAAGAGTTCTCTTAATGTAAATCTTCTGAGATTGTGTAAGTTTTCTCCTTTCTCATTTTGTTGTAGCCATTTGCCTTAAATCATCAAAGATTTACACCATGAAGAATTTAAGTTGCTTCATTGAGATTTTCTGAAAGGCATCTTACTACCTAAGTTATGTTATTTTAAAAAAAAAAAAACCTCAGTACTCAGGCTGCTTTATTGCAACCAGCTTTGTATTTTTGATAATGAATCAATTTGGGTGCTAGTTTAAAATTGTTTTATGATTCAGCTGATTATAATTATCTGGTATTTAATTATAACATTGTTGATTCTACACAGAGATTTGATAAAAGGTAGTTTGGATTATGTTCCCATCTGAATGAATTTAATATTAGAAATACCACTAGGGTATTATTGTAAGGCAACCTTTCAGGCAAAGAGACTGATGAGAATTAGAACTCCAAGAATTCATTATGTTTATGCTCTAGTGTATTTGGATTTTAATTTGATGTCATAATGTGAACATTTTACAGTGTTCATTTTATTTTACCTTTATTAATGGTGTGTTCTACTCCATCAGTTTTTTTTTTCTTTTAGATGTTTGGTGTAATGCACAAATTAAATCTCTGGTGTTTCGTAGCTGAAGTATGTTGATGGTAGAAAGTGCATTTAAATATGATTTATTGCTTCTCTACTTAAAAAAAGTGTTTTCTAAGAGACTTCAGTTACAATTTCTCCTTTGTATGACATTGATTCTTAGACTTTTTAACTACATTAGTCACTTCAACAGAGAAAGAAAAAATAAAACCTCACTCAGTTGTTTGTATACAAATAGGTCGCCAATGAGATATTTGATTTTTATCAGTTTTATTAAACACATTTTTAATTTAAACTAGCAAAAAAAGCAGAAACATTTGTCCTATTGTAAAATCAGTGATATTTTCAGAAAGTACTCAGTAGACCCTATGAAAGACCATTATGACCAATTAATGATAGCTTATGTTTGAACCTTGATAAATTGTGATTGTCGGGAATGCTCACAAGGCAGTAGAAGAGAAAAGGCCAAGAAAAGTTGGACTCTTGGCCTACTTTTAATTTGAATTCTGAAAAATGGAGATATGATAGTTTTCAGAAGTGTTTTCATATATGATTCTTTTCCCCTCCTTGTGCATAAACGAAGGCATTACACAGTGAAATAATTGTTAATGTGAAGTCCAGGATTCTTAGTTATATAATGTACCTTTTTTCTTCCTCCAATGAAACTATGCCCTTGTAGCCAAATTTCTTCTTGAAAAATTTAAATGTTAGGGCCGGCCCCGTAGCTTAGCCCGGGTTCGGATCCCGGGCGCGCACCGACGCACCGCTTCTCTGGCCATGCTGAGGCCAGGTCCTGCGTGCAGCAACTAGAAGGATGTGCAGCTATGACATGCAACTATCTACTGGGGCTTTGGGGGGAAAATAAATAAATAAAATCTTAAAAAAAAAAAATTTAAATGTTATATAAGAAAAGTATATTTGTGTATCTGATCTAAATATATCTATAGACGCGCATAGATGAGGTCCTAGCAGGATGTAAGTTGTATCTTACAAAATTTCAATTCAGAATGTAGTTTAAAGAATAAATTCTGTTCAAGTTTAAATAATATATTCTGTTTGAGAGCTAGACAAAAAACATTTACATAGCTTTATTAATGTGTTTTTAAAGGCAGTGTCCCCTTGCTTTGTTTTGTTCCCAGTGTAACCTGGTTTTCAGCTAAATAGTTGGTGTGCTGGAATACTGGAGTGTTTATATCTGCTTATATCCATTCAATTCACTCATTTCTCTTTATGCTGTCATTTTTCATATTCTTAAGTACCCCTGTCTTGAGATTCTAGGCAGAAACAATTCTGTTAGTTGAACTTTTTTTATTGAAAAATATAATTAATTATATCAGCAATTATTCATATCTCAGTTTCAAAGGTAATAGAAGAACTTTATATTTGACTTTTCTCTTTTATGAGTGTTTTCTCCCTAAAATACCATATAGCAAGCTCTCTGGTGATCAAAATAATGACATTTTAAAGCAACTTAAAATCCAAATCTTAGTCTTTTTCTTATTTAATCCCACTGACTATTCTGCTTGCTATTTTGCTTATTCACAATCCTAATTTATTAATCTGATCCTTTAAAACTATAACTATATCCTAACAAATTAATATTTAGCTATTCTTTTTTTATTTCAACTTATTTTTTGCTTGCCAGGGACTAAAAGATATTCCTCTCCCTTAACTAAAGCTCCTTTGAAATTATTTTAACATAACTTTGCTATCTGTTGTATGTATTGTTTTCTTTTCTTCCACTTTGACCACAAATTCCCTCAGGTCTTCGCTGGTTCATCCTCCAAGCCATGGATGCCGCTCGACTCACAACAGCCCAATTCACACTGCTACTGGCTCACGACTTACTCAGAACTTCTCTGTGTCTGTTCCCACTCTCATCTATACTGGTACGAGACTGCTCAGACTCCAGAGCTGGGGAAGGCAGGCCACGGGCAGAGTGGCTGCTGAGGGCAGGCAGGCAGGTAGCGTAGGCAGGTACCTCAAGTCTTTGCTTCCTCCTCTTTTCACTCGAAGTCCAGCTGCAGTGAAGAAATCCTGTATTTAGGTGCCGAGAGGCTCTAACTACATGAAAGTGTAGTGTTCTTGCAGCTTCCAAGGTCTCTTCCATAGATCCTCTAAGAACCCTATCTGGTATACGAATACTATGAATTTTTAGGAGAATCCTCCAGTATGTATTTTTGCCATTATTTCTGCATTTGGTTAGAAATAAAATTGATAATTGGATTCTAAATGAAATAGCTGCCAAAGCTTCCGGTTTGCTCATTTTCTTTCTATGCAAAACCTGTTAACGCTAGGGTCTGTTTCATCTGTGGAAGAGAGCTATTGGAAAACAGGTAAGCAACTATTCTGCGTAAAATGCACTGTTTCTGTGTAGCTGTATTCATTTCCCTCTCTGCTCTGTTTTTAGCTGTGGCACTCTTGTTGCTATAGGATAAGGAAACATATTTTTCTTTTGAAGATATCTGTGTGTGCAAATATAAAAACGGTTGTGAATATTTACACACACCATTTGCAGTCATCATTTTTTTCTTTCATGACTTAAAAAAGCATTATTTATTTGAAAATATTTTCAGTCACATATTTATTCTTTGTTTCTTTCTCCTTTTAATATTTTTTACCCCCTTGGTCTGTCATTTCATGCTTTTTTGGTTTTTTACTTGGCTTATTAACTGTTTCAATGCAGATAATTATTTATCTGGAGAATGATGAATGGTTAAACAGCGATTGGTTGTCTTTGGCCTCATACCCAGCTCCACACTTAAGAAATGACTGCTGGCCCTGCCCCAGTACTTGCCTGGTGTTTGGATCATGCTGCCTTCTGTCAAGTCCTTTGGCACATGATTACTTAATATTTCTCCACCTTCTTCTGGCAGGATTCCCTTCAATGAAGATCCCAATCCCAATACTCACTCATCAGGACCCTCAACCCCTCTGAAAAACCAAACTTATTCCTTTTCACCTTCCAAGTCCTACAGTCGACAGTCCTCCTCTTCTGACACAGATTTGAGTTTGACACCCAAAACTGGTAAGGCGCTTCCACCCATCTTTTCTTTTCTTTTTTTTTTTTTTTCAAATTTGTTTCTATTCCTTATTAGCTTTCCATCCAAGCCTTTCCTCCTGTTTTTGGCATTTAAGTTAAAAGATAATGTAAATACTGATCATTTTCAGTTACTACAATTAAAATATGAAAATTTTGTACAGGTTAGGAATTTTCTCGCTCAGATCTACGTTTTGTTGATTTAATCATAGTGTAGATGTGAAGTCAAGGATTTATTTTTGCATGTAGACATTTTTCATTTCATGCTCAAATTAAGAAGAATAATATCTTAAAGCATTTGAATAGAAAGTAACCCTAGTAGCTTGCAATCCAATTCCTCATGCAGTATAAGCATTTTTGAATTGTTTCTGTCAATTTCTGAATTTAATTCTAAGATTTTATAATGAAAAAAGTCTTAAGAACTACTGAAATGGTTATATTGAAGTACATGTATTTATTTATTAGCTTCTTGTTATTTAAAATGTTTGGTTTTGCTAGTCTTACTCTCTAGGTTAGAAAATAGCATTTTTACTTATTCTTGCATATTTCTCAATGTATTAAATTTATAATTTTTCTCTCTCCAATTTGTATTTTCATAATCTCTGAGTTTTTATGAATGTTTTTTATGATTAAAAAACTGATAAAATCAAATTAGTTTGTTACTCCTTAAAACAATTAACTTATTTAAATCATTAAATTCTTATTCTTAAGAGAAAATAAATAAAGTGTTTAAAAGTTAATAGTTTGCAATTTTTGTAAATAATTTTGTCTGGCATTTTCCTCACCAGATTGATGAAAACAGTTTGCATAGTTCTTGTTTGTGTTATTTTTAATTTATCATCTTTAATAACCTTATTTTTGTGTTAGACAAGAAATTTATAAAATAACCCTAGATTTTATGAAAACAATAAAAAGAAATCTAATTCTAGAACCAGTGCTACTTCCAAAGTAAAGAAAGGACATTAAAAAAAGCCTGTAGATTTAATATATATTTTTATACATGTCACAAAACATGAAGAAGATAATTATGAATACCTAATTCTTTGAAGAGAAAAGCTTTATTTTCACATATACATGATTATGAATAGCATTTAAAAATAGTGTGATATTTGCTAGCAGTGGATGCTTTGGAATGTGGCATCTTAACCATATTCATGTCGTGAAAACTGAACCATTGAAATTATAGTGAAGTGTTTTTTGTTTTTTTTAAAATAAAGAATGAGATTCTGGCTTTGAAATTCATGACAATCAAAATATGAAAGACTTAGGATAGTATTTGAAGAGTAAGTTTTCCTAAAAATATTTTTGAGACTTTGTCCACTGGCTGTTTATTTCTGTATTCCAGGGCACTTTTCAATATTCTTATCTTTATTTTTCTTTGCCATAGCACAGATAAAGTTTTGAAAGTATTTCCTTGGTCTTTCTTTTTCTTTGATTCACCAAAAACACCAAACCTAAAGAGGATTGTCAAGAATAAATTAACTGAACCAGACTTTTCTTCCCTTAACTTTCTAGTAGGCAGTCAATTGTATTATCAGTGAAAACTTTTTGCATTTTATTTTGTAGCTCCAAATTTTTAGTTTTTAAAAATTCATTTACAATAGAGACATTATTCTCGTGTATTTCTGTATTTATAAGCTGCCTCTAAATAAATTATTTTGTTTTGCCTGTAATTATTCACTATCTCAATAGCATATTTATAGGATATTAGCAGTTTTTAGTCCTTTGGCCTTATCATGAGTCCCTATATATCTTTGAATATTCCTGAGCAGCATTCCTATTTCTCGTGGAGATTTAAAATGGCAAAATAATGGTTGTTCTAAAATTTCTAAAACTGTAATTCAGCATATATTTCGTGATTCTCTGCCTTCTAATTTACCTGTATACAAAATCAGTCTCTTGAGAAATAGTGAGACTAGATAAGCTGATTATGATTGATTTATTATATGTAAACTGGGGAACCAAAAATAGAATAAAGTTAATAAAGCTTAGACTGAGAAAATTGTTTTTTCTATTTGTAGTTAAAGCTATCACTTGTTTTTCAGCTAGGTCTTGTTTTTTAAATATTTCGTATTGGTTTATTTCTGTAGATTTTACTTTTTGACACTTTATAAGGTTTTATTTTCATATTTTTTCCTAAGTACTCAACTAGTAGAATTTTAGAATGCTAGTCTTAGGATATTGATTTGACACCTGACTCAAGCTAATTTTTACTTTTTTAAAAAAGTCAGGCTTTTAACCATGTATAGTTTTTGTGATCCGGAGGGTATTTGGCCCTTAGGTACTCAAATCTTTGTAAATGCAATCAGTACTATGATCAGATTTGAGTATTTAAAATTTTAGAGGCAAGAGAAAAGTATTAACATACATCTTGAAACTGGACAGAAAGAAGTTGGTATTTTATTTATTTAAAATTAATAATGGCAACTGCTTAATGTGGTACTTTTTTTTTTTAATGAGTGTTCAATTAAAATACTCGTAAGTGATATGTTTTAGTTAGTAGCATTTGAAGAATGGTACTTTACCACTTTAAATAAGTGTTTATATTTGAGGCAACAAGTTTCTGGCCTTAAAAATGTGTAGCATGTGGTATGTTTTAACCTTACAAATTCTTAAGCAAAAAAAGCCAGGTAATTTAAGTGTTTTTAAGAAATCAGCTAAAGATGATTAGAATAGCATAAGATCCTATGTTAGTGATTTAAAAAATTTTAATGAATGCAAAATTTGTAAAGGTTTTGTTAAGTTTTAGACTATGCCTTTTATTTATACCATGTTGGATAGATGGTCTTGCTAATGACTTCATATGCTTAGTGTAATTTGTGTATGCATTTTAAAATTCATTTTTACTATTATGTTTTGCTTCATCATTGCTTTCCTTATCCTGCATTTTCTGGTCATCTTCTGAATCTGCATCTTTTCTCTGCTACTTTCCTCCACAGCACCTTACCCACAGGGGCCTAGGACTTACCTGTGTCCCAGCTCCCCCTCTCTCTCTTGTGGTTCCCTTCATCTTAAAAAGTCCTGTCTCCTCCTCTCGGAATCTAGCCTTCCCCCTCATCATTCTAGCCTTGTCAGCCCAGTTCTGAGGAAAAGTGTTTCTTTCAGTGAAGAGCTGTTCCTGGCTGCTTCTGGTAGGATCACATTACGTCAGCTTTTTAATCCCTTTATTTTAAGTCATCTTAAAAGAAATAAATTATTTCATACCATAAAGAAGTATTGGATATTTTACACAGGATGTACTTCTTACTTTTCTTATTGGCAGACAGAGTTAAATAATTAGAATTGTCATGAAGACATGATTGAGGATTACTTGATGGATAATTATGAATATTCCACTAAAATTATTTTATATATTAAAAAAATTATGGGTCTAAGGACATAGATCTGCATATTTCCAATAATTATTAGGTTCTCGTTACTCGAGTTTCTGTTTTAGATACTTTATGGTCTCTCCCTTCACACCAGCTCCATTCACGTTCGACCTGTACCATCATGTTGCTAAACCATATGGTTACATTAGTAAATTATTCTGTTTGAATCAGTTTAAGTCTCGTTTTGGTGATATTCTTTCATTATTCATTTTTTTCGTCCATTGCATTAATTTACAAATTATTCTGCTGTATTTTCTGATATTTCATTTATCTATACAAAGTTACATTTTTATTTTATGGCTTTCAGTATGCTTCATATGAAGATCTTAGTTTCATTTCTGTTTAGTATTGTATAGTCTCTAAAAATCGTGTTTAGGTTACTACAAGAAAAATAAATTTCTTTTTTATTTTTAAAGAACAGAATGGGACTATACACATGCTAACCTTTGTTTCCTTATCCAAGAACAGCTAAAAATGTAAAAGTAAATTAGTTCCTTTTTTATGTCACTGTAGTAAATCTCACTGTATGTATCTTCAGTTTTTCTGGAAAGGGTGGGATTGAACTATTAACTCTAGTGTGTAGAGCACTGGCTTCTCACCTGTCCCCTGCTTTCTATAATTCTTTGACCGTAGTTGGTCTGTTGGTATTATCAAAAGAATAAAATAAGGTAGGGAAAGAAATTTAAAATCAAGCCTTTAAAAAAATACATCTAAGAGCTTGGGAAATATGTTCTTTCATCCATAACTATGTACATTTGTGATGTGTCTATTATATGTCTGTGATTTTTACTTTTTTAAAAGAATTTTATGTTGATTTTTGCAAATGAGTGTTGAAAACTATGAATATTAATACTGTTTTTCATGAATGTTGTGTTTAGGAATGGGAAGTTATCAGAAAATAACTTTGGCTATATTTCAAAATTGCCTAAAGTTTGTGCTGTTTAGAGAATTTTGGAATATTTTAAGTAAGCACAATTAGTGCTTTTCCTCTCTATATTTACTTTTGAAAGAACATTTAATGTTTCTCTTATTCCTAAATTGTTAGCGTAGTAAGTAATAGGTGTTATCTTGATTATTTTTTACTAGAAGACTCAACTTTCAAAAATTAAATATTATACAAAAATTAATCACCTTAATTTTTAAAATAATTTTTAGAATAAATTAAGTCTAAAACTAGCTGTGATCAATAAGACTTTGACATCTTGCTTCTAAAGAAGACTTTGTGAATGAAATAGAGTAAAATATGTGTTTAGCTGCCATCCCAAATACTTTAAATATTTGCATCATTTTAACAGATTTTGACTCATGATATTTATGACGATGAATGCAATTAAACTTTCTGTTTCTGTAGTTGGTTTTGGTTGTTATTTATGTACTGATGTTCTGTAGGAATGGGAAGTGGGAGTGCTGGAAAAGAAGGGGGGCCGTTTAAAGCTCTTTTAAGACAACAGACGCAGTCGGCATTGGAACAGAGGGTAAGAGTCACTCAACGTTCTTTTTTCTTCTACTGTTAATATGATTTTATTATCATGCTTCCATGTAATTTATTTATGAATAATTTATTATGAATAATTACCTTTAATTTGGAATAAGTATAATTATTTTCGTTTTGTCCTCCAATCTTTTATTAGAAATAGTCTATTTGGAAATATTCATTGAATAATAAAATCATTTCTAATTTTACATTAAATTTATATAAGAGGAAATAGACTTTTTCCGGAAAAAAAATATTTTATTTGTAATATATTAAAAATAATTCCTTAGTATATTAATATATTTATTTGCTGAGATTATTTTTATCAGTGGCCAATCTCTTAGGGGTAAGAAGTTCACAGATTCCATATTTCTACAGATTAACATGACTAATGTAGTTTTTCAGTATGTGAATACATCTCTTGTAAATATTATAAGTTTAATGTTTAGTTAACTATGTTAAATGGGAAATGCATAGTTAAAGTTTTTGGATGATTTTTCTCTTTTTTTTTGTATAAACTTCATTGCTAAGGGAGGATCACCTCATAGGTTCTGTAGAAGGCGGGTATGTTTCTGAACACGTGTGAGAGCCTATTCTTGTATTGGTAGCTTTTCTAGTTTTAATCTTGATCATTTAAGTTTTATTTAAGCTTTTAACAAATGTTGCCAGCTTTTTTTCTTTTCGTAACGCAAAGTTTTCTTTAATTTAATAGCCCTAGGAGGCTCATGTTTTTTTCTTCTACTTACCTAATACAGTGCATGATTTTATTTGTCATGTCAGTTATTTTAAGACACAGTTCCATAGCTTTCATTATGTCTGATTTGGAAGTTATAAGCATTTACAGAATTTTATTTTATGTGCTCCGTTTTACAGTAGGATTTAGAAAAAAAGATGAAACATAGCAAATACCTATAAAAGGATGCGTTTTATAAAACAAAAGCATTTCTTTAATAGAGGTTGGCTTTTGAGAATAGTGTTTTTCAGATCCTATCCTTACAAACAATACAATTTTTTTTTAGACTTTCTTTCCTTGTGCTGAAAGTATCTGTGTATGCACTCTTTGCCTTCCAGACAAGGCTGGAGAGAGCAGAGCTGAGCTAAGCAGAGTGATGAGACTTTAGCTGGACCCAGTTCTTTGCTTTATACCCTATCAAGCAGTAATTGCCTTTCAGCTGCTCTCACATTTGCCGGCCTACCAACTACTGCCAACAAAAAGCCCACCTAAACGTTCAAATGCTCCACTGAAATCGAATACAGGGAAAGACTGAAAACGTGGAGAAGAGGGTCAGAGTGAAAGTGTGTGTGTTATCCAGTTATTATTTTTTAGGCCAGGATGCTCTTATCTCCTCCCACTCCCAGTTTTACGTTTTCTGCAGAGTCCCTTTCGCTAGGAATATTTCCTGTAATCTAATTACCATTCTAGAATTCACATGAACAGAAAAATTTGGGTTGCCTTGACATTTGGTATAATGAGATTTTGCCTGTATGTTGTGCCTATGACTTCTTAGTAAAACTAAGAACTTTTAAAAGCATCTAACTTTAATAGGAAAAAATACTCATCAGTGAAAATTATTTTGGGTTTAGTTTGGATAAAATTTACGTTTTCAAATATGCTTTTAAACATTCTTAAAATTTTGGACACGTTAACACACTGGGCATACCTTACTAGACAAACTTCATGGAATTGACAGCAAAGGTGTGGAAAACTCTAGTTGTCATTTACAACTTTGTGAAACCTCAGTTCGCAATATATTTATGTTACCTAACGTTGCAGCTGCAGTTGCTTGAGTTTCTGGGACCACCTCTCTACCCTGTGTACATAACAAATCAAAAATGCATTATCATCTTTGGCTTTCCCATTCACCTATGGCTGCCGTTAGTATGGCTTTGTTTTGGGAAAATTTTGTACACAAGTATGAACAATTTTCCTCATATATATTCAGATATGCCTTAACTCTGCCAAATTGAACACTAGATCCAGTTGAATACATGATCTACTTATATCATTTTTTAAATTCATTTTTAAAATATTCATTTCTACCCCTTGGCACCCTTAATAAATTGTATAGCTTTTTTTTTCTTGAGGAAAAGAGAAACTTTACTTGTCTAACATCTTTTATTTAAATGGATTATTCAAGTAGCAGTTCTCAAAAATAAAAGTGTTATTTTTTTTCTTTTCACAAAAGCATTAAAAAATAAATTGACGATCTTGGTAATAGGTGTCAGATTATTGGGAGATCAGAAATAGAGATAAAAGTTTTATTTAGATTTAGGTTCTGCCTATGAGCTATTTGATGTAAAGCAAATAGATTTAGTTTTCAACATGACTCTTTGACCTGTAAGAAAAATAAAGTTACTTTTTACGTTCTGGAATGTATATTTTTCTTCAATAAAGAAACCTAATTGACATAGTTTAATCTAGTGTTTTCCAAATATATTTTACCATGTAATCTTAGATTTAAAATGCCTGTTAGTAAGGAACACACTTTGGGAAACATTGATAGAAAGCAAACTCTTTGATAAATTATTATCTTTTTTAGAAGTGGGGTAAAATTATGCAATAAATCTTAGTAGGAATCTGGCATGGAGTTTTTTATCTAGAAAATTTACTCTGGTCTCTTGGGATAATAAAAAGAATATTTGATTAAAAAATTAACTGTCTTTTAAGAAAAATCCTATTTAATTAAAAAAAAAAATAACTCCTTTTGTGTTCTCAGATTTTTCAATTAGCCTGTCTTTGAGCACATGCTATTAAATAGATTTATGGTGCATGCACTTGGCTTATGTCAAAGCATCAACTTGTGAAGTCTTATCTAGGTACCATAGGGCAAGATACTTTAAATAGAAGGACTTTCCAGAGAAAATGTCTTCTACAGTCCCTGAAATTCCCATTTAGTCATTGAAAGTAGTGTGTGCTTGGGCTGATCTTAAGGAAGCTGTCCTTTTCAATGGAAGAGAACCTATAAATTCATCAGGGATGATAATAGACTAGAGATTAAAATCAACTCCTTAACTCAGTGTTTTCACCAGATAATAAGGTTTGTTGCTCAGAAAGAGTCTAGGCCCTCTTGACTTCATTTTTTCGCCTAAAACATGGAGATAATAGTGCCTCCCTCTCAGGATATGGGAAAGATTATGAAGGATAGTTTTAAGGTACTTTGCACAGGGCCTGGCACATTGTAAGTACTCCATAAGAGTTGCAGGTCTCGATGAGATGATAGATGTTTAACAGTGGGCTGTAGGTATTGGCAGTAGCTCATCTGAGAGAGTTGTCTGAAGATGTAGTTTTGGTTAAATAACAATGCCATTTTTGTTTCTCTTGGTTAAATTTTGTGTGTTAAAGTGCGTGGGTGTGCTGTTAGATGAACTGGGGACGTGTAGGACATTGTCGAAGTTGGCAGAGTGGGCTGCTGCCTCTTTTTCTGCTATGACCACCTCTACTGTAATGCTTCCCCTCTCATCCCTTTATCTCATTTTCTGAAAATTGGAGAGAAGCGTCAAGGAACCCAAAGTAGAGAAATCATTTAGATTCTTTTTTTCATACTTACCTAAAATCTTCTATGCAGATGTTTTCCAATATGTAAATTTACCTAGTTTATTTTTCAGTTTTAGAAGGAAGTACTGCTTCCATTTAGCTTACAAAAATTTTATTTTCAGGGGCTGGCCTGGTGGTGCAGTGGTTAAATTCACACCCTCCACTTAGGCGGCCTGGGGTTCACAGGTTCGGATCCCAGGCATGGACCTATGCACCGCTTACCAAGCCGTGCTGTGGCGGCGTCCCACATATAAAGTAGAGGAAGATGGGTGCAGATGTTAGCCCAGGGCCAGTCTTCCTCAGCAAAAAGAGGAGGATTGACAACAGATGTTAGCACAGGGCTAATCTTCCTCACCAAAAAAAAAAAAAAAATTTATTTTCAGTGTCTTTTGTCCAGAATATTTAAAATGTTTAACTATAAAGATTAAATGTAAAGTGCTTTTTTATACTATGCTTCAGTATTTTGAGGAAATTTAAAAACTTCAGTGTTCTTAAAATTGAAAATAAATCTTAAAGATCTAACTTTATTAATACTTAAGTTTCTAATAACATAAGCTTACTTGTACATTTCTCATTTAAAACTTATATTTAAAAAGTTTAGGGCCGGCCCTGTGGCTTAGCGGTTAAGTGTGCGCGCTCCGCTGCTGGCGGCCCGGGTTCGGATCCCGGGCGCGCACCGACACACCACTTGTCCAGCCATGCTGAGGCCACGTCCCACATGCAGCAACTAGAAGGATGTGCAGCTATGACATACAGCTATCTACTGGGGCTTTGGGGGAAAAATAAATAAATAAATAAAATTATAAAAAATAAAAAAATAAAAAAATAAAATAAAATAAAAAGTTTAGATGGAAATAAGGAGGCATTTTGACTAAACATTTTATAATACATCTAAGTGAAATTCTCCTCCCATACTTTTCCCTTCTCTTCCTTTCCCTCTGCCTATCAGCTGGGCCAAACCTCTTCACATTTCTTTTTTTTTTTGCTGGGGAGGATTCGCCCTGAGCTAACATCTGTTGCCAGTCTTCCTCCTTTTATTTTTTTCCCCTCCCCAAAGATCCAGTGCATAGTTGTATATTCTAGTTGTAAGTCCTTCTCTGTGGGCTGCCACCACAGCACAGCTACTGACAGACAACTGGTGTGGTTCCACCACCGGGAGCTGAACCCAGGCCGCTGAAGTGGCGAGCGCTGAACTTGAACCGCTAGGCCATCAGGGCTGGCTCTGTCTATCCACTTTCATAGACTGATTTTTTACTCTTTTTTTACATAGCCTAGATGTTTCTTGCCTTTGTTAATTTAAAGATTACTTTTAAATTCTACCTGAATTTATTTCTAAATATATATATGTGTGTGTATACTTATACACACACATATATATATCTTGTAGTGTATCTTCATGGGTTACTGAGGTGTGCAGAACTGTTTGCCTTTGTGCTAAATGACTCCAAGTTGCTATGCTTTGTGAATTATGCTTTGGTGAGTCTGTATTCTCCGTGCTTTAAGCAGCTAGTCAGTAATCTTGCTGCTTTTAATGTGCCTGCTTCTAGTACTATTCTGTATCTCTTTATCTCCCAGCTTTTATTTGCTGCATTTAATCTGCTGTGGTCCAGAAAAAAAGATACCTATTGATAGATTTTAGAATAAGATCCTAAAATTATGTATTTATAATTACTGTTATAATAGTATGAATATGATCTGTGGGGATCTTTTATGAATGAAGTACATAAACTTTAGTACTTGGAACTGTATCAGTTCTTTTGACTGCTGAGAGCCCTGTTTTGCTTATTTTCCAGTTCTCAGTTATGTTCTGAATAGCTGAGGCTACTGGTAAGTGACTTCTGGTTAAGTGGACTACATTAATCTTGCAGCCAGACAAGTCAGATACTAAGTTTCCATTACTCGCATCCAATTAAAATGTGAGAGGCCTCTGTATTTGGGCAGCCACAGGAGCTCCCCTTTCTTCCTCAGTGCTATTTCAATGAATTTCCTTTTTCTACCATTTCTCTCTTGCATGCTTCTCTTTATCTTTAAATTGGGGAGATTGATGTCCTTGAGAAAGAGAGGGAGAATGAGCTTGGAAGAACTTGTGGAATTGTATTACCTCTCCCCTTTCCTTAATATACATTTATGTACTTACATTTTCTCCTGCTGCCCTGGTGTTGATAGAGTAAATAATCCACACAGCGATTCTCTGACCCACCTCAATTTGGTATTTGCCCTTAGCTTTACCTTTCTATGTATCTCTTAGCCCACAGTGCTCATCCTCTTCCCCTCACCCCCACAGTCCCACATTCTTTTAGCTCTCTTGCCCCAGGCCTTCAGATTCTTTACCAGTAGCCTGGAATTGCGTGTGTATGTGAGGGGGAGTCTGCCCCACTAAGAAGTAGATATGGGGTAGAGGGGCAGGGGGATCCCTCATCTCATTGTGAAGTTGCATCAGAGTAGGAGTTTGAGAGAGGAAAGAGGAGCGTGTTCAGATATCTCAAATTGGAACTCGGAGAACATTTTCCTCATTGAGAATTGATAAAAAGAGCGTTTGGATTCTGTATAACATGATATATATGGCAAAATGGATTCAGAATTCTAAACACCCAAGGAAACTTTTGCTTACAGAGCGTGTCTAATGTATAATTGGTAGCCTATTGTTAAGGGGTAGAATTCATTTCCTTATGACAAGCTTTTTTATAACCGTATTTTTTGTACTTTACACATGGTCAGTTGTATTTTTCCCCCATTTTTTCTACTAGGAATTTCCATTTTTTACCTTGACGGCGTTTCCCCCTGGATTTCTTGTGCACGTTGGGGGTGTTGTTAGTGCGCGCTCTGTGAAGCTTTTGGATCGTATCCACAATCCTGGTATGTTCTTTAAAAGTTTGTTTTCCATGTTTCATTTACTTGAATTGCGATCATTAAAATTGATTTTCATAATGTTTTTTTAAGCCAAATCTGTCTGAAAAGGGAAATGAAAAAGAAAGTATAAACTGGCACATGTTGCTTTAAAATATTTGCAGTATTCTTAATTAAAAATAAACTGAGTAGAAGTAGATTTTAGTCACTTTTTTATATAAAACAAACAAATCTTGATTCATTTTTGGCCAAGGTATTACTTGAAGGGATCCTTAAGTAACTTTTATGTCGGCTGTTGTCTTTGACCCAGGAAGATAACAAATTTTATAATTTGACCATTGTGGCCATTAATTTAAGATAAGTTAATTCGTTTCATTAGCAATAACTGTTTATAGATTATTTACATAATTTCCTTATTCCTAAAAGAAGTATTCTTTTAAAACGTAGTTGTAAACATTGTGTAGAATATCAAAGAATTTAAAAAGAAAAGTAACTACTGTCTCTGGTTCCTCGGTTTCCTTTATGTAGCTATGTGTTCTATATATGTGAACAAGTAAGAATAGTAGCTTACTTCTTTAAAGCATGGGGCCATGATTGTAAAACAGGAAAGGCATCAAAGTCCTAGTAATTTCAGGATTAGAAATGCTTTGGTGACTTTTCTAAATCTAAAATAGTGTGCTAAGTGTAGTAAGAACTTTCCGTATGGAATGTACTCTTGCATCTCTCACTGACTACATGCCCAGTAACTTGCTTGAGTCTCTTATTATGTTCATGACATACCTTGAACCTGAAGTTATATTAGTATTCCTATTTGGCATATATACATATATATACACACACACGCATATGTAGTTTTGAAAATTTTAAATTGTCATTTCCAATAACCTCTTCCTGAAGCTTGGATTGACAGCTATAAAAAGAGTAAAATGCTTTGAAATTATTGTATGCAAAACATTGCAGATAGTGATTTTGAGGATACAGAACATTACCATTTAAAAAAATTTTTTTTTAAATTTAATCTATGCCCTGTGGTTTGATGTCATTTGAGTTAATAATTACAGAAAAATGGAATGGAATTTTTTAGACCCTGAATGAGATTTCAGAAAAGCAATACTAGCTAGGATTATTTAACTAAAGCTGAGCAAATACATCTTTTATGCATCAGTCTTCTCTTTTTCTTCTCTGGTTTGTTATTTTTTTTCCTTGTTCTTCATTTTTCTGGTCAATTTAAGATCCTTTCTTCATGTAGTATTTGTATATTCTGCAGTAGTTAAAGACAAATTTAGATTGATGTCAGTTTAATGTATTGAGACCTTGAAGGCTGTGCCAAGTTCCATGTCTTTGTGTTTAGGAACTTGAATTATTTGGAAAGTGCAAGGAAATACTGTGTTAAGATATCGGACATTAACTGTGTGACCCAAGGCAAGACACCTGTGTTTCTATGGACCGTTAGCTCAAATATTTTGATAGATGGCACCCACTGGTATAATAGCTCCAGAAATGGTTTCAAGAATATATTCAGTTGTTGATGACGTCTTCTGTTTACTGAAAACATTTCGATTTTATTGTTGCTTCCATGTACTCTGAGTAAGCTGTAGAGTCTGGGAGAACAAGCGAAGGTTACTTAAATAAGTTTAGGTAGAGAGCTGTATTTAAAGTCACATTACTTTTTAAAGAAAAACTGCTTTTTGGGGTTTATCATATTGCCAGTTTATTCTAGCTGTGTAAGAAATGTAAAAATCCGGGCCCAGTGAAGAAAATAGGAATCCTTATTACAGAATACGTTTTGTGTATTGTAATTACCAGCTCATCCATTCTCTTGCTTTTCTCCCCTTTCAGAATTTTTTTCAATTCACATGTAGAAATTCTCAGTTACTAATGGACTATTTGCCAAAAGCTTATGGGCATATACATACAAATGCTTGTAATGGTATATAAGTGATATTTTAGTTTTGTTTTATTTTCAGTTAAATAGAAATCAATTTATATATTCCAAAGGTTCTAATATTACATTATTTTGATATAAATATCATATTCTTGCGATTGTTTTATGTATGTATTGTGCATTAAAAGGGAACATTTTCTTTTAAGGACATTTTATTAATCTCCAAGCCCCTTAAAATTATTTATGAAAAAATTTTAATTTGTTGAAAGAAGCTGAACGTTAAAACAAAACAAAACTCTAGATTGGCATCTACCATAATGATGATGTATTGATTTTATGACACCGAGTTAACTCTGCTAAGAGAAACTTATGGATTGAGATGTGTGTGCTGATGTTAAAAGTGCTGTATTTGCACTTTTCAATGAATCCTGCAGCTATTTTTTGACTAGTGAATATGGGAAATTTTCATTTTACACTGAATGTAGAAGGAAGAACATCTAATTTTAAAACCACTACCACCTGCTAACTCTGGATTATTATTTTGGAGTTATTTGTTTTAGAACTTCCTTTTTTGTTAAATATTAAGCTAACAGGATCATACAACAAGGGAAAGAATGGGGTGGTTTTAAAAATCATGGTAATTTATCTTAAATAATAGACTTTAGTTAATGTTGGATTATGATAGCATGCTCCTCCTTTCCTTTCTATTTCTACTTCTTATTAACTCTGCTGTCTGTGTCTTTCCAGTTCCTGTCCAGTGGTGTTGTCAATTGTGTTCTTGTTTGTAGTGCTTTTTGTTTTTTTCCCACTCTTCTGCACCTAAAACTGATCTACTAATTTGCTGTTTTGAACTCAGCCTTTGTCGGAATTATGGGTAACACAAGATCTTACAAACTGCTAGACTGGAATAGTTTCAATTCAGGTATTTTAATGGTCATTCAGTACTACATATGCTGACAGAAATTATGGCAGCTCAGTGAAGTTTTTAGAAATTTTCTAGATTAAATAGGTTTAATGTCAATTCAGCTATACAGAGACATTCTGCAATACATATTTTATAATTCTTGTAATTTCCACGGAAATGCAAATATAAAAATGTATTAACTAAACTGAATTAATCAAAACCACAGAAATACCATAAATTACAAATGGCTTTTGTTAGGTTATTAACTTTCAGAACGATAATTTTAAATAGTTTTGGACAGTTTTTTTATATCAAGTAAATGACATAGGCATTAGCTTTACGATTAAGGAAATATTAGTTGTTAAATATAAGTATTAAATGACTAGTTGATAATCTTAAAGTACGTTTAAACTTCAATTTAGATTTGAATATAATATATTTAGTGTTCTGTAAATACTATAGAAGTATAACTGTTAGCATTTTTGTTTACAGTTCTAGAAGTGTTCCAAAATTTGGTAAGTAAAAGCAGATTTTTGGGAGATTAACAGCTTTCGTAAGCTTTCCTCCTTCCCCTTCCACGTGAGAATATAATTTTTCTTTCTTAGTAATTTCATATGGATATAGTTTGTAGCTTTTAAGGAAACTAAGATAACTTTTTAGCTGATGATGTGGTTTAGAGTCTAAGCCAATTTTTCTTTTCTGGTAAAAGCGTATTCTCTTAATAATATAAATGTTTAAATTTTTACATTATTTATATTTTAGAATTGAATTAAATAATAGAACCATATTGATTTAGTATTAGAAGCTGGTATTTTGCCTAAAGAACTTTTTCAGTTCTTTGTGTCAGAAAGTTTATCTGTTTACAACAAAACAAAAACAGAAACACCAAGAGGCTCAGCATTTTAGATAATATCTCATAATCTTTTCAATATTATAAACTTTTTTTTGTTCTTAGGAGTCTAGGATGTAAGTTCTGATGTAACTAATGCACATTTGACTATGAAGTAACTCATGTTCATCATGCAGATTTATCTGAATTCAGTCTAGTAAACACTCTCGTCAGGCCCAACCTTTGCAGATTTAGACTGACATCAATTGGCAAATCTTTAAGGAAATCCACCTCTATTTCCTATCCAAGTTTTTGCTAGCATGTATCACATTGATTAGTATTAAAATTAATCATTTTTAATGTAATGCTTTATACTTTGTTTTTAGTGAGAAATTGAAAATACCCTGCTGGATTCATTTAATGAACATAAGAATATATTTTTAAAACATAGGCAGATTAGTGTAGAGGGAAGAGAAAAGTCTAATTATATAAGAAAAGGACCTTGAGGGCAGATTGATCATTAATACTTGAAGGAGTTGAAACCTTGTGAGGGCGAAGATGTTTAGAGTGAGATGTGTGTTAGATGATAGAACAGTCTTGGAAAGTGGACAAGGCAAAAATTAAATCTTATAGACATAGTCAAGACTTTGTCCATGTAAGCAGAATCACAGAATTTGGCAAAGAGAAACATGGTTGAGGAAGCAGTGTATCTTGCCATCATTTAAAATAAAGTCAGGTAGTAAATGTATGAAAAAAAAGGTGGATGTAAGTTACAGAATATTAAAAGAACATAACAGATGACACTTTCAGTTTAATATTCTCATAGTTGTATGCTTTTCACTGAGGTATTAGAATCTTTCTGGTAATAGTTGGTACATATTCAGAAATCAGGCTGATTTTGATATTAGTTTAGGAAAAATAACTGATAATTCTGAAAAAAATGTGATATATTTGGTAAATATATTCAAATCATTTATGTATCTTCTCTGTAATTAGGGAATATTGAGCCATTGCTGTCCTGTATTATCATAGAAAAATCAATAATTGACCACATCAGTAAGAAAAATAATTGTTGATATTAGTGTTTATGAACGCTAGACATTATTCATCCATACTGTATTTCCTAGATTCTCTGACACTATGTATTATATGGTGTATCATCAATTTAATAGTAGCCTTCCAAGAGAAAAGAGCAAGAAACGTTACCATATTAAATATACTTATTAATTATTAGACATTCTTATTTCAGAAACATTAAGTGTGTAAAGGTAGAAAAACATTTTATATCACAATAATATTTCATGAAATACGATATTTCATGCATTTATTAGAATTTATTTTGTGCCATGCCGTTTGCTGGATAATAAGTGTGCAAAGATGCCAGTCCCTCT